GTTTTAACTGACTCATCATTGTGCATGTCCGCCAGTTCTTCTTGATACTGCATATTTGAAGTATCAGAGAAATCCACTAAAATTGGCTGCATCATCCAAGTTGGAAAATCAATTTGTTTCAAATCAGAAAATCTTTCTTATCAGCCGATATAATTTTCAGATAACCGACAATAACAAGTATTGCGGTAAAAGACACTTGGGGCCAATGCAACTTTTCAAAATGTGTGTTGTAATTATATTTCTTACAGAATTCAATAGACGTAATGAAACCAAATATCTTCACTTTTGCATCCACAAGAATTTGTTCCTTGAAGTTGGTTGTTTAATAAATTTAGTATTTCAAAGACATTGGCTAAATAACTCACAAATGCTTTACTATCGACCGTTAACAGATCATTCATTTCAGGTTTGTCACTTTAAAGAGTATCAAATAGTTCCATAAATCTTTTCAAGCAATTTCATTTTGAAAGCCATCTTACTTCAGTGTGAAGTAAAAGTTTCACACAGTTTGCATTTTGTCTTTCAAAAAAAAATGCTTAAAGAGACGTTCACATTTGGCCTTAGCTTTAATAGCATTGATGCACTTTAGAACTGAGCTTAGTACTTCGTTTAGAGAAGACGAAATGTCTTTAGCTACCAAGTTTTCCCTATGAATAACACAATGTACAAGTAGCATTTTTGGATTCTCATCTATCATCAATTTTAAGCTGCCATTTATGTGTCAACTTAGACTATTGACTACTTTTGAAATCAACAGATTTTTACAATACTTTTAACTAACGCTTATATTAAATTGAGTCTTTAACGATTCTCCGTTTAAAATACAAGTTTAATCATACTAGGGGGTTGGTTTTCAAAATCTAGATAACTCATTTTCGAATTGCCCCCCCCCCCCTAAACAATCACATTGCCCCCCTGTGGCATTAAATTAAAGACAGTGGAGGCGTTGAAAACTTGTCGTTTTGTCACTTGTCGTTTTGTTAAATTGTCGTTTTGTCACTTGTCGTTTTGTCACTTGTCGTTTTGTTACATTGTCGTTTTGTCACTTTGTTGTTTTTTCACCTTGTCATTTTGTCACCTTGTCGTTTTGTCACTTGTCGTTTTGTTACATTGTCGTTTTGTTACATTGTCGTTTTGTCACGTTGTCGTTTTGTCACCTTGTCGTTTTGTCACCTTGTCGTTTTGTCATCTTGTCGTTTCGTCACCTTGTCGTTTCATCACCTTGTCGTTTTTTCACCTTGTCGTTTTGTCACCTTGTCGTTTTATCACTTGTCGTTTTGTCCTTTGTCGTCTTGTCATTTGTCGTTTTGTCATTTGTCGTTTTGTCATGGAACCGGACTTGGCTTTAATAAGAATTGAAACATGTCCTCTTTCTTATTTTTTTTACAGCACAACAAAAGTCCGTCTCGGTGACACTCTTCGGTGTTGTCATTAAAATGGGATTTGCCAGTGCCAAGTTTGTGACAAGCGTGGCAGACGACAAGAAGTGTCTCCTGTGTCACGGTGTCCTGGACAACCCGGTCCGGTCCGCCTGCGGTCACGTGTTCTGCTCGGGCTGCATACTGCCCTGGGTTGTCAAACACGGCCAGCGTCTACAAAAGTGCCGGCCCCTCGGCCCGACCGACCTTGAAAACGTCCTGCCCCTCCGCGAGGTCAACCTCAAGTTCAAGTGCGAGTTTTTCGACCGCGGCTGGACCCACGCGGTCCGGCTGACGGATCTGATCCGGCACACCCAACGGTGTGAGTTCAAACCCGTCGCCTGCGTCAGCCCCGGATGTGGTCAACTGGTTCCCAAGAAGGACATTTACCTGCACTTACCTGCACGAGACGGTCACGTGCCCGTGCCGACCCATCGGGGAGTGTGACAAAGGGTGCGGCCTCGTGCTGCACCTCCACACCCTCGCCGACCACGACTGCTACTAGGCGCTCAAGGTCCTGGTCAGGACCCAGGAGGAGCAGCTGAAGGAGCTCAAAGAAAAGCTCGCGCTGGTCAGTACCAAGTTTTCCAAGAAGGAGAAAAGTCTTCTCGAGCAGGTTTCTGCCCTCAACCGACAACTCGGGGAACAGACTGAACAGTTCAATAGAACGATCAAAGACGTCAAGAACAAACAGCTCGCGGAGGCTGATCACGAGGTGAGTTGAAAGACGTTTGTGGATGAATGATTTTGTCTTTAAATTATTAATTGATGAGTTGAGTGATCTTGTCTTTAAATAACTAATGGATAGGTGTAATGATCTTGTCTTTAAATAACTAATGGATAGGTTGAATGATCTTGTCTTTAAATAACTAATGGATAGGTTGAATGATCTTGTCTTTAAATAACTAATGGATAGGTTGAGTGATCTTGTCTTTAAATAACTAATGGATAGGTTGAATGATCTTGTCTTTAAATAACTATTGGATAGGTTGAATGAACTTTACTGTACAAAGTGGTGGATATGGAAAATCATATTCTACATTTAGTAAAGAGACGGATGTGTTGAATTATTTGTGTGGAACCCTATAATCCCAGTGTTGGGCTTTTGGGAATTCATGTGTGCCTATGTTGGCTAGGAAAACTTTTGTCCTTGTTGGCTTGGAATAAACGTGTCTATGTTGGCTGGGAACAT